TCTTTCTCTCTCCTCTCTCTCTCCTCTCTCTGTCTCTCCATATATACATTTATATGTATATATTAAATTTATTATATTTATATATTATATTAAATATATTATATTTATATATATATATATATTTAAATTTCCATCTAGGGAACCAAAATAAGATATTAAATTCCCTAGCTTAATGTAGTAGAGGAGGAAGTAAGGAAGATAGATGTAGAAATCCTGAGGTAGGATGAGAAGAGGAAAGAGTCTGAACATTTGTTTGTTGGTTTGTTTGGGCTTTTTGAGACAGGGTTTCTTTGTGTAGCCCTGGTGGAGCTTGCTCTGTAGATCAGGCTGGCCTTGAACTCACAGAGATCTGCCTGCCTCCACCTCCTGAGTGCTGGAAGAATCTGAACATTCAGATGTTAGGTGTTTGAGACCTGGAAAGACTGGAGTTGCAGCCTAGAGGAAACATTTTGGACAGTGTGTTTGAGTTGCCAAGAAAGGGGCAGAGGTGTGTAAAAACACGTGCCACATAACCATGAGGACCTGAATTTGAATTTCCAGAACCCACATAAAAGCTAAACAAGACTTTGTCATCACAACACTCCTACAGGAAGATGGAGGTAGAGACAGAAGAACCCCTAGAAATCTGAGGGCCAGCTAGCCTGGCATACACAGCAGAAAACCAACAAAGACCCTATCTCAAGTCAGGAGGAAGATGAGGACCAATGTCTGGTATTGTACTTTGACCAATCATAATGCATTCATGCAAACAAATGTGCACATTCACACATGCAGGTGAGCACACACACACACACACACACACACACACACACACACACACATATACGGGGTGGGGGGGGAGAGAGAGAGCAAAAAATTAAACAGAGATCATAAAGGGGGTACCAGGAATCTTGGGGTGATAACAACTTGGGGTAATGACTTACTTTGTCTTATTTTTTATTTTATGTGCATTGGTGTTTTGTTTGCATGTGTGTCTGTGTGAGGGTGTTGAATCCCCTGGAACTAGAGTTACAGACAGTTGTGAGCTGCCAGGTGGGTGCTGGGAATTGAAATGGGGTCTCCTGGAAGAGCAGCCAGTACTCTTAACCGCTGAGCATCTCTCTTGCCTGACAACAGTTTAAAAGTTTGTGGAGAGGCAATGGTATTGCCTCTCATGTTGCAGAATAAAGCTTCTAAGTTCAAATAGATATATAAGTGATTTTCCCCAAAATTGAAAAAAAAAGTTTAAAAAGAAAAATAAGAATAATAAAAGAAACAAACAAAAAAAAGATTTTCCATATGGTTATCCACTTGGCCTAGCACAACATATTGAAATGACATCTTGTTTGTTTGCTTTTTTGTTTTTGAGACAGGATGTCCTGTGCTCAGGCTGGATGGACTTCAGCACCTGCTTTTCCTGCCTCTGCGTCCTCAAGTACTTTTGATTACAGATGTTTGCCATCACACCTGAAGAAATATCTCTCTCTCTCTCTGTGTCTCTCTCTGTGTGTCTCTCTCTCTGTCTCTGTCTCTCTCTGTGTCTCTGTCTCTGTCTCTGTCTCTCTCTCTCTCTCTCTCACTCACACACACACACACACACACACACATAATGTGTACAAATGTTTTGCCTGCCTGTATGTCTATGTACCACATGCATGCATGATACTCATAGAGGTCGGAAGAGGGTGTCAGATCCACAGGAACTGGAATTACTAATGTTTGTGAGCCAGCATGTGGTGGTGCTAGGACTTCTGGAAGAGCAGCCAGTGCTCTTATCTGCTGTGCCACCTCTCCAGCCCCATTGTCTGCATTTTTATTTGTCTATTTTTTCAGTAATGTTAACAATGTTCTTTTTATTTTCTTCTTCCTTCCTTCCTCCCTCCCTCCCAACCTACCTTTCTCTCTCTCTCTCTCTCTCTCTTTCCTCCTCCTCTTCTTTTTGAGACTGGGTCTCTACACAGCCCTGGCCTAGTCATTCTGTAGACCTGCCTCTGCCTCCAGAATGCTGGGGTTAAATATGTGTGCACCACCACACTCAGGCCCTAGTCTTCTTTTTCTTTGGACAGTTTGAACAGCTAGCTGAATGACCAGAAAGTTACTGGAGAGAGGCTTCCTCAAATGCTTAGAATTCCTAAATCTCCCAACTTTGTTCTGTGAGCACATGGAAACTTACTTATCTTTGATGCTCGATTGCATGGGGAGTGGAGGAAGCCTTAAATGAATGTGTAAGGAATGAATGAAGGCCTGAGTGTATGTACGTTATTGACAAGACTAATGCTTCAGACACATGGGAACTGGCAAACCCTTCCTTGGTTTTGTGTGCAAGTGACAGAGTACAGAAAGTGTAGACTGCTGTTTCCCCTTCCCAGATGTTTACAGCTCATCTACAGAGACCTTGCACCGAGACTGGCTGACCTCTCCTCTTGCCGTGTCCAATAAACTCAATCGGGTCCGAGCCATGCTGGCCAAGCACAGGTAGATTCTTCAGTTTACAACTCTATCTCATCCTTCCAGTGTGCACAGAGCCAAAAGGTCAGGCAACAGTAAGATCTTACAGCCCTTTGTGTCCTCCCGTGCTTGTGCCCAGTTCTACGTATGTGCAGACTTTAGATCCCCAAACTCCTTCTCCTCCATTTTAAGATGCTTCAGTCAGCTTGTTATTTGCTCAACTGTTATCACCACCGCAGGTCACGGTGATGCTTAAAGATCCTCACTGTTATTTCCCACAAATGCTTCTGGGGCAAAGCCCAAGACAAACCTTCTCAGTGGACTTTCCCATGGAATAGCTGGTGGGTTAAGCTGCAACAGGGATTGAGCTTTAGAGGAGCTGTCACACCATTCTCTACCCTCCAGGGGGTACCAGGCTAGTTTCCACCATGATTTCTTTTGTCTTATTTTGCAAAGCTCCCACAGGCTTAGAGAGAGAAAAATAAGAATAAGGCAAGTCAGAGTACCACTGAGGACAGGCAAGTTGGGACCAGCACTCTGAGGTGGGAGAATTGCTATGAGTTCAAGGGTGGCCTGGACTATACAGTGAGTTCTAGGCCAGCCTGGGATACAGAGGAAACCCTACTGTATACACAGACACACATATGACACAAAATAAAATTAAGTAAATACTTAAAAGCATTGCTATTTGCTTTCTGTTGGAAAGGGCTTCACTATTACTTCATGTGGGAGCCCATTTTCGGGTTCCTTGTGGCTTTACCCAGCAGGTCCGCAAAGAGGATGATTAGGACCACGGGCCTGAGTGCAGGTGTCTGAGATGGTCTTCACTTGGCTGTGCTGGGGGAGGAGGTCTTTTGCTCCACCCCTTGGTGTCTCTATAAATACCCTGGGGCAGAGACAGTCGGGCCTGTTGGAATAGGTTCCAGGCCCTCTCGAGGCTATCCTTTATTTTCTATCTGTTTATCTCCGCAAGATTCTCCACAATAAATCCTTCTATCTAATATCTCTTGCTGCTCACACTCAAAAAAAACTCTGGGGAGCTTTGGGGTTGGTGGGTAAACACCCCACAACTTCAGTCTATTACTTAGGAATGTTAGGGTGGGAGCTCAAAGCATGAACCTTTAGACAGGAACTAAAGCAAAGGCCATGGAGGAATGCTGCTCACTGGCTTGCTCTCCATGGCTTGCTCTGCTTTCTTTCTTATATAGCCCAGGACCACTTCCCAGGGATGGCACTGCTCATAGTGAGCTGGGCTGTCCATCATCAATCATTAATATGAAAGCATTCCCTAAGGACTAGCTTTCATAGTACTAGAAGTTGCTATGCAAGCTTCCAAGGGAGGGAAACCATCCATAGCCCTACCTAGCTGTGATGCCTATGAACAATAACAATGACCAGCATGTGCCACACCCAGCATGACTTCAGGGATGAGCTTGACTGGGGCAGTGAGGAATGAAGAAAATATGGATGGTTGGACACATGGGCACACAGAAACGCCGGCATTGGGCAGACTGAGATCTCTGATGAAGAAACTACAGCATCTTGGAAGCTCAGCGCATTTATTATGTAAAGTTGAACAGAGACGTGAGGCTATTTTCATACAGCTGAATAAGGAGGTGGGGTTATTACGTACAGATAAACAAGGAATCAGGGTTTATGGTATACAGCTTGATCAAGGGGACAGGCTTAGCTTATCTTGGTAGAAACAGTCTCTGTAGGTGAGCAGTTTTCAGGCCATAGGTATCCAGGGGGAGAAGGCTAGCATGGACATTTTCTGCACACATTGTTAACAGTAGCACTCAGTCCCCTGAGGAAGGTTTACAATCTTTCTGGACCTAAGGCTATGGGGTCCTTAACATGGCCATGCCCACATTGACATCACACATTTACTCAGCACTTCACTCACTCATGACTTTCTCAGCTCTTCACAGGCATGGCAAAATATCTGTAATCGTGCAATAGTAGCACTAATATCTTGGCAGTAACCAACAACTGTCTGATTGGCTTAGTCAACAGGAGGGAAATCATGCCTGACAATGGAAAACTAGCCAACAAACATGCCAATGGACAAATCTGATGGGAACAATTCCTCATCTGAGGTGACTTCCCGGGTGACTCTAGTTCGTGTCCAAATGACACAAACTAACCAGCACACTTAACCTCCATCTTGGCACTAGTGATAGGTGGTGGAGCTGTAAGAGGTGGGCCAAGTGGGGATTCCTAAAGTCATAGGGAAGATACCTCTCCTCTCCTCTTTTCCTTCTTGGCTATTAAGGGACCAGTTTTGCTCTATCATAACAGGTTGCCACAAAGTCAAAGCAACAGGGCTAACCAATCACGGACTGAAACTTGTGAAATTGGGAGTCATATAAACCTTGCTGATAAGTTGATCATATCAGTTGCATTGGCTTTATTTATTTATTTATTCAGGGTTTTTTTTCCTCAGTGTTGGGGCTGGAACCCAGGCTTTGTTTGTATGAGGCAAATGTCCTCTCACTGAATTATAGCCTGCATATATTAATTAGTTAATTAATTCATTCACTCATTAATTTCTACTGTAGAGAATACAAAAATGTCATTTATTTACCTTATTTACTAAATGATTAGCTATAAATATCCAATTTTGCCTTGCAGTTTAAGGAGTTCCTTTTTTGCCATATCCATTTTTTGTAGTCAAATGCTAAAACCAGCACCTTCTGCACTGTATCTCCAGTGCATAACTGATCATTTACATTGTATATATCTATGTCTAAGAACACCTCGCCTTCTGCACTGTATCCAGTACTTAACTGATCATTTACATTGTATACACTCTGTGTCTAAGAACCACATCTCACCTTCTGCACTTTATCTGCAGTGCTTAACTGATCATTTACATTGTATACACTCTGTGTCTAAGAACCTCATTTCCCTCATGGTCCTGATGTTCAGGGATACTGATGGCCACCACCTTCATATGTTCCAGTAATATTGATCACGGTTCTGAAAGTCCCTGTGAGCATATCTGGCATATGTCTTAGTATGTGGGATCCTGCCATAAGGCTCACGGTCATTGAAACAAGACTCAAAAACGTCATCCACAGCCTTCTGGGCCTCTTCTCTGCTGATGTTCCGAACAGTCAAGATGGAAAGAACAACTCTGTCCCACATACAAGTCTCATGGTGTTGTTTTAATCCAAAATGCAACCTGAAGATTTCATTCACAAGCCAACAGTCTCCACTGAGGCTTGCAGCTCTAATCTCCAAGTAGGCTAAATGTCTGACATCGGTAAACCAGTGGACGTGAGCCCGACAATGATTGAATGCATGAATGAGCTCATGGGTGACGACTCTGCTCATGTGGGCCTCATTTTGGATATTATTCTGGCACAAAACAATCTGAGATGTTGAAGCATCAAACCCTCCACTGACATTTCTATCACAGTCTTCATAAGAAAAATGTTTCCCTTGATCAATAGCACAACCTGAGTGTTTCATAGCATCAAGTAGAAGTTTGACATATGGGTCTCGCAGACTTGTCTACAGCCAATCTGATGGAGGCGTTTCCTCAACTGACTTCTTTCTCCTCAGATAACTTTAGTTGTGTCAGGTTGACAACAAAACTAGCCAGCATACATTTTCAGAGGTTTAGTCCATTATCATCATGGCGGGACATGGCAACGTGCAGGCAGACATGGTGCTGGAGAGGTAGCTGAGAGTTCTACATCTTGCACAGGCAATAGGAAGTGATTTGAGCTAGCCTGCATATTTTAGACATGCTTATTCAAATTCTTCCACTCATTTTCTACTATATTAACTGTTGTTTTTCTTGTTATTTTGTATTTTTCTATTATTTTGGGTGTAAGTCTTCTGCTTGATGTGTTCCAGTTTTGTTTTGTTTTTTTTTCCCCAGAGTTGTGTATATGTGTGCATCGCTCTGGGGATCGAACCCTAGGTCTTGTACTTGTGAAGCATATGCTCTGCCATTGAGCAACACCTCTAAATTCCTTCAGCATGCTTAGCAAGTGATGTTCCCAATCCTTCTTCATACTTTTCTGTGTGCTTCTATGCACATATGTATGCAAAGGAAGCCAGAGAACAACTTCACACCTTAGGAGCTGTCTACCTCATTTTTTGAGACAGGATCTCTCACTGGCCTGAAACTCAGCTAGTAGGCTAGGCTGGACAGTAAACTCCAGGTAGCAAACAAATCTACCTGTCTCTGACTCCCAGTGCTGTGATTGCAAGGGTGTATCACTGTGCCTGGCTCCTTTCATAGGTTCTGGGGATCAAACTCAGTTTTTCATGCTTGTGTGGCAAAAATTTTATGACTGAGCTATCTACCTAGTTCCCTTGTTAACACTCTTTTTTTTTTTTGGTTTTTCGAGACAGGGTTTCTCTGTGTAGCTTTGCGCCTTTCCTGGAACTCACTTGGTAGCCCAAACTGGCCTCAAACTCACAGAAATTCACCTGGCTCTGCCTCCTGAGTGCTGGGATTAAAGGTGTGCGCCACCACCGCCCGGCTTAACACTCTTAATAATAACTTTGTTATTTAAAATATTTATTTTGTGTCAGGGTGTTTTGCCTGCACATTTGTCTCTGTACCATGTTCCTGCAATGCCAGTGAGGTCCAGAAGAGGATGTTAGAGCCGCTGAGACTGGACTTATTGTGGTGAGCTGCCATATGGGTGCTGAGAATTGAACCCAGGTCCTCTACAAGAGCCGTCAGTGCACTTAACTGCAGAGCCATCTCTCCAGCCACCTAACTTTATAATTTTTTTTTTTTTTTTTTTTTTTTTTTTTTTTTTTTTTTGGTTTTTCGAGACAGGGTTTCTCTGTGTAGCTTTGCGCCTCTCCTGGAACTCACTTGGTAGCCCAGACTGGCCTCGAACTCACAGAGATCCGCCTGGCTCTGCCTCCCGAGTGCTGGGATTAAAGGCGTGCGCCACCACCGCCCGGCTCTAACTTTATAATTTTTAAGTTGGAAGAGTTGAAAAAAATGTTGTCTCTAATTTTGGACTGTTATCCTTAGCAGCTGCTGTGTTGCCCCGACTACCCTTTACAGATCCTTGCCCTGGTGAACTTGATAATAGAGTAGCAGCGGTCATACTTTTTATTATCATTATTTTAATTGCTGTTATTACAGTAAGACAAAATATCCTGTGCTGGTCCTGAATTTGCTGTATTCTTTCTTTAGCCTCCCAAGTACTGGAGGATTATATACATGCATCACTACACCCAGGTGGCATTAAAAATAATTTTAAATGTGTATTTATGTGTGTGAGAGAGATAGAGATAGAGAGACAGAGAGGAACAGAGAGAACATATGTGTGCGGGTGCCCGTGGCGATCAGAAGAGGACATCAGATCCCCTGGTGCTTGAGCAGTTGTGAGCTGTGTGTGTGGGTGCTGGGAACTGGAGGAACTTAGGTCCTTTGGGAGAGCAGCAAGTTCTCTTAACCAATGAGCCATCTCTCCAGCCTCATGTAAGTACTAGTGTTCAAACAGTAAGCAGTTTTGCTTTGTGGGCCACACAGTCTGTTTTGCAACTATACCACTGTTCCTGTTGTACTGTGAAAGCAATCATAAGCCACAGGCAAATAAATGTGGCTATGTTCCAATAAAACTTTATAGACAGAGATAGATTGTTGGCCTGCAGGTGCTAGTTTTCTGACTTTTGCTCTGTAGGGAGGAGCATGTCCTTCCTTCCCTTCTCTCTTGCCATTAGCTGGTGCTATTGTTTGACTATTTCCATTTCCTCCAAAAATTTACATTGAAACTAAATCCTTCAAGCAGCAATATTGGGGAATGTTTGTTAGAGGATTGAGGCAACAACGTGGAAATAAATGAGGAGCTCTCTACAGAAACAGAATTGTCCTTCAGGCAGAGCAAATGAAGGGCAGCAGTCTCTCCGTGGGCGTGGAGCCTGTGCAGTCGCTGTGGTGCAGGGGGCTTGGAGGTTTTCTAGTATGAAAAGGGAACTTTTGGAGAGGAAAGGTTTACCGGTAGATTTTTTTTTCTTGTCTTTTTTTTTTTTTAATGGTTTCAAGGCCCAATGATGCCAGCGAATGTTCTCATTACTATGCAGGCTTCCTTGTCAGGCAGGTGTGTTCTTACCAGTATACTGAGCAGAGAGTTTGGGCACTAGTTTGAGGTTCATTGTTTTAAACCATTAACTCTTCAGTGTGACTTTGGTAAATGATGGCACCAGAGGAATCCATCCTCAAGACGCCTTTGTAAAGGAGCTTGCCCCAGGGAAACTCTTTCCTGCTCTTCTGCCGTATGAGGATATGGAATTACTTCCTTGGATAATGCCACATTAAAGTGTCATCTTGGTAGTAAAGAACAGCCGCGCATTCTCAAGAGGTAGGCCCGCACTTTAAGATTTTCATTCAGGCGCCCCGCGGTTGCCCGGTTGCCCCGGAGACGGGGTCCTTTCTGGCGGGGCCCAGCCATCTTGTGTAGCTGTCGTCCAATCAGCGGTTGCTCCGTGGCGGGGGGGGCGGGGCGCGCGTCGCCGGCGCTCAGCTCGCGGTCATGGAGGCGCCGGTCGGCTTGCTGCTGCTGCTGTGGTTCGGGGCCCTGGCCCCGGCGCCCGGCGGCGCCTCTTCGGAGGCTCCGCCGCTGGTCAACGAGGAGGTGAAGCGCACGGTGGACCTGAGCAGCCACTTGGCCAAGGTGACGGCTGAGGTGGTCCTGGCGCACCCGGGCGGCGGCTCCACATCACGAGCCAGCTCTTTCGTTCTGGCCCTGGAGCCGGAACTCGAGTCGCGGCTGGCGCACCTCGGCGTGCAGGTGAGCGGAGAGAGGGGCCGGAGAGGCCGCACCCGGGATCCCTGAGGGGGCCGGGGATCCCTGGGGAGGCCGCGGCGGCGCGGGGAAGTTGAGGGCGTTAAGGATCCACGAGGCGTCTGGTTGTCTGATAGGCTGGTGTGGAGGGGACAGCGGAGAGGTCGGGGTCTGCCGCCCCTGTTGTCCGCGTGTCCTCCCCGACACGTCAGCACAAGCTTTGGAGCGTCGGGCGCCGCCCACGTACGTGGCAGCTCCGGAGCCCGAGGCGACCCCTTGGTCCCCTGGCGACCACCTTCCACACCACAGGAACGTCTTGGCTGTGGCCAAGTGCGGTACTTCGGGCACTTAGCTTTTTCCCCTGTCCCCTGGACGTGCTCGTCCAGTGAAGGACCATCAGTGAGTTAAATGGATTAATTCCTGAATACAGTTGTCTGTTAAGTGTTCTCTCTGGACAGGCGTTCGGAAATATAGCAGGTTTCTGGTATCCAAGTTTGTCATTACTCACACCTCTAAAAATAGCTGCTGAACACTTTTTTAGTGTTCAAACTTGAAAAGTCTTTCAAGTAATAATGAGCCCCCTCTGCTGTACAGAAAGGTGAAACCCCGTGAGCCCCCTCTGCTGTGCAGAAAGGTGAAACCCAGTCTCTTCCTCCGCACCGTCTCTCATTGGAACACCTCAGCGTTAGCCTCTGTGCCTTTCAATGAATAAGCTTTTATAGCTTTCAAGGAAAGAAATCGTTGGCTTTGGGAATAGAGGGACTATCCACACAGGTTGCTTTTTATTACTGTTTTCATTAAACTATATCCATTAAGTGATTACCCAATTTATTAGGAGGAGACTAGTTATTACAGTATCACATTTCTAAGCACACCACATTCTCTTGACTGTATGGAGCTATAAAGCTGGGTTTATAAATTGTCACAGAAATGACTCCTGTCTCCTTCACACTGAACCCTTGTTCACCTGAAGCACACACAGCTTTACTCAACTGTTTCTGGAAAGACATTCATGACTCAATTTAACTGACAGTGCCACCTATGAATGTTTTGAGTGTTCAATCCTATTTTGTGAAAACCAGTCATGACTTAATGAAGTCACAATATAATCAGATCACAATATAATCATAGCTGTCGAGGTGGAGAATGCACACAAGTTGGGTCACTCCACATGGTTCAGTAGTTAAGAGCACAGAGCATCTAAGTTCAATTCCTAGCCACATGGTGGCTCACAGCCGTTTGTAACTCCAGTTCCAGGGTGCACAGACATACATGCAAGCAAAACACCCATACACATTAAAAAGAAAGGAAAAGAAAAGGTGGCAGTGGGTATTTTAAATGCATTCTCTACCTTTATAGCAGCCTTTTGAGGTATAGGTGTTATTACATGGCTGTGAAAGCATCTGGCCTTGGAGCTATTAACCCCACAAATGAAGTCTAGTTTGTTCCATACCCTGTATTTTCCTGCATTATTGCCATCCTGCTTTCTGGCCTTGACATGAGATTAGGTCTTATGTTTCAGCTCTGCAGTTACATCACCGGTTTATTCACAGTTGTGTTAATTCTGGAGGGAGACCAGTTGAATGTATGAACTGCTTTATACTCCTTACCTTGGTGAGAAACAGCTGGATGATAAATGTAACGAAGAACACATAGTGCGTTGGAAACTTGGGTGAGGTTGAATGGATTACAGTCCCGTTTAGGAACTGGTAGAAGGACAATAGTGATTATGTAGTGTTTTGTTTTTTGAGATAGGGTCATGTTATGTAGCCCTAAGACTGTATTAGAACTTGGAATCCTCCTGTTGCAGCCTCCAGAAGGCTGATAATTAAAAATGACCTTGAACTTTGGGTCATCTTGCTTTATATCCATTGTACTGGGACTAGAGTTGT